TGTCGACAATTCGTTCGTTAGTTTAAATCGTAACATCGGTATAGCTGAAAATATTGAGATCTCGAATCTTTTCTGTCAGTTAAAAAATATTTCAACGTTGAATCAAAATTTGTTTCGAGTGCACGGACATCTAAGAAAATTATCTTCACAACCGGTGTTATATTTTCTTTCTGTCAACAAAAAACTTTGCAAATCCGAGCAAAAATTTGTAGAAACAGTTCAGCATTTTATAATGTAATTTAAAATATGAAAATAATAGAAATATGAAAACAGACAAAATAGGATAAAGTTTAAAATTTATGGAAGAATTTACGGAATTCTAAAATGAAACAAGAAGCACGAGCATTGGCCATACCGGCTACGTTATTAAGATTTTTCAACTTTTAACTTCATCCAGTTAAAATTTTCCTTAAAGATTTCCTTAAGAAATGTATAATAATTATACGCGTTTAATATTTTTAATATTTCATTACATTTTATTATTTCATGAATAAAAATCTATATTCAAAGTATAATTCAAAATTAACCACGATTCATTCGATTGTTTTAAAATCGTAAAAATTGAACAGAAATAATGCAACGAATATGTTATAATCTATCGATTATAAATAGACCCTGAATCGAACTCTGAATCTGATTCAGAGTTCATAATATGTCAAACACATTCATCTTTTTCGTTTCATCGTTGAAGGATTAAAGTTTATCGTGGCAAATAATCAATGTCGAATTGGCTATCTGGCTCTTGGAATTCATAAAAATGTTTGAAAATCGATGATCAGCAATCAAATCCAGTTGGAATATAAAGTGTTCGATCGTGAAATTTTGTTATGAAACATTAATGTATACCGAGTGCTAATTTTAAGTAGAGAAACAAGAAATATATTAATAACTTTCTAAATAAGAAAAGTAGAATAAGAAGTTCGATTTTTACTTTTGGCTGGAATTTTATTTTCACAGTTTTTTTGCCGATTGTTAAATTGATTTGCCTAAAAATCATGAGGATTAACGCGATAGAAATTCTAGGGAGAAAGAGCGGTTCTTTTGAATGGCGAAATATTCAATTAGAACTCTATTTCCATTTGATTAAAAATTCACACAAAATTATTAACTCCTGCACACGTATTTTTGATATTTCGAACATTCTGAAACATTAATTTTTTTCATTTCGAAAGAATTCATTTCGAATTTTATATCGAGGATTTCTAGGGAATTTAGGAATTCTAGGTATGCAATGATAGAAAATAAAATTCGAATTCTTATTGGTCCAAACTTGGTTCAAAACTTTTGAAACGAAATATACCAGTATTCGAAGAATTAGGATGCACACAAAATTAAACGATATTCCAAAATATTTAAAGGACGAGAAATTCCATGTTTTTCTCGATTTAAATAAATATCAAATTTCTCTATCAACAAAATCAGGGATAATCGATAACGTGTGGCGCACACAGCTCTTGACAGGAGAGGAAAAAAATATGAAGAAATCGATATTAGAATTTTGCGCGTTTCGAGGAGAGAAAAATTTTCAAATGATTCGCAAAAATAATTATCTGGATGATGAAGGGTAACGGATGACCGTCTGGCAGATATATATATATATACACACACACAGACGAGTTTGTTGGCCCATGGAGTTTTTATCGGTTTTAACCTTCCCCCCCCCTGTTTCTTTTTAATTCGAGCTTGAAACGTGTTCCTCATTCGAACGAGAGATATCGAGCTCCAATTCGAGCCAACTTTCTTTAATATTTGAACAGATGCACGGTGTAATAGGTTGGAGGATTACTCGTTTCCAACTTGTGAATTACGAAACTGACCCGTACTTTTTTATTTATCTTTATTTATTTTTTTTTTTGGAAAAAATTGGATGGACGGATAAATCCTTCCTATTATGTATTATTTACATTTTTATTCGTCAAATGAAAAGCAACTTTTTACAAAGATATTTTCGACGCGTAAAAATATTGTGTATACGATACGCGGAGGGATATATAAACGAGGAAAGGAAAAAACTCGAATTCGAATCGCTTATTTACATTTAATCGTGGCAAATATTTATTATTCGGTTTATTTATTTGGGGAGGGAAAAGTCGGGTAACGGTAACACATAGTTGTTGAAAACGCATCTGTGCACCGCACGCTGCGCCTTCAAAATGTACAAAAACGGTGCCATAAATTGCCACTCGAGACACTGCTAGGCCTGGCCAATTCGTGGAAACGACCACCTTCGAAACAATGCGGCGCCTTTGAAAGAGATATACATGTCATCGTTTTCGCCCATGAAAATTTACAGGAGTGGTATTTTTCTTTTTACGAATAATTGGGCCGATAACCGAACCGATAGATAGATAAACCAGTTTGGAAATATATCATTGACGAAGAAGTTTAGTCGATTTTTCTAAACTCGATCTTTTATTCCGTGTCTAATAATCGGGTCCAATATCCGTATATATTTTCTTTCTCCTCGTTTGCTCACTTATTTATTTATTATTTTTTTTTTTTTTTTGAGAATTTGGAAAGAATTTTACGTCGCCGCATAAGTTTTGTCGTTTCTTTCTCGTTCTCGCGTAAACCATCTACGAATGTTATCACTGATTGATACAAACAGTAACATTAGAACTTAAACAGGAATAGAACGAGATGTAAAAGACGATGAATCATAGGGAAAGATTATAAATGTTTAGCGCCGATGGTGATCTAATCGATTTACCAAATATAGCTCTACGCTGCAACGAATGCACGATTTTAAAATACAGGATGTTTTTCGAGAACGAGTGACGTAATTTGTGGATCCGCTCCGTGATTCTACGAGCAAAAAATAATGGGAAATTCGTTTCGAAGCTTTCGAAAAAATTGGATGTATCGAAAGATCGAATATATTGATTGAAACTTTCCAATTCGATTTTTTCTTTTTTCTTTTCGAAACGAAGCCTCCTCGACGAAAAAAAAAAAAAAAAAAAAATTGCACAGGGGACAATTTCGATTCTACTCGAGTAAAAGTAAATCGAAAACGTGGAATAAAATTGAATTCGAAAGGGTTCTCAGGAAAATGTTACTTCGCCTCGTATTTTTTTCGACTCGTTTTCAAACGAGTCGTCGGAGTCGTGTATTCGCGCTTCGGCTGGCTGGTATCATCCAGGTCTTGAGACGGCCTGTATGAAACCGCAGTTTCCATTCAAGACGACGCCGATGCCCGATTTTAGACTCGGTCTTTCAATGTGATTCAACGAGACTCTATCTCATTAAGTCGAGATAGAGAACAGCGGGGATTATAATGCGATTCATTTCTATTGAAGGGATAAGTTCCATGAGGATTTTCCAAGGCTGGAAAATCGTAAATTATTTAAAAATGTTAAAAGAAATAATATTATTCAAATTCGATGAATGGGATACTTTGTTGATACGTGTATATTTAATTAAATATAATTGTGAGTAAACGTTAATAATTGAAACGTTGTAACAATATTAACCATTCCATTCAATTTCATTAATTCAATTTTAATAACTGATCCTGTTGTTCATTTCAACTTACTTGTCCCGTTGATAATTCGTTTATTTACACTTTATACTTTATTTATCCTTTCCTGAAACGCACGGTGCGAGGATAATAATGATAATTTAATCGACGATAGGTCACAGATAATTATTTTTTAGCGTTAATTGGTCATTGTGTATGCATCGTGGAAGCAGTGAGCGTTGTTGGAAAAGGGTGAAGAATCGTTGGCCACGCTCGACGATTCGTACGGCTGCACCCAAAACCGGTGGGACTTTTGGTTGACCATCTGGTGAATCGTGGAAAATTTTGCTCGACCCTAATATTTCGATCGAAAACGATTTCTTACTTCGAGTTGAATTTTCTCCAAAGGAAAGAAATTTCCAAGATACGTCAAGAATCTTTGTTTATTTATTTTTTTCTCCCGTAGAAAATAATTTTATTTCATCGCTTACGAACTCTTCTCTTCGAACCTGATAACACTTATTGAAAATTCAATGTGTTATTCCGAATATTTCTATCTTGTTGTCCTTTATTTTTACAATTTAAATTGGATCGATTTATTTCTATCGAATTATTATCGTAGACGTGGTCGTTTAACGAAAAATTATTACGACCTGTCGAACCTCGAGTTTCGTTCCACGTCAAAAGCTCGTTACACTCTTCTTCAGCATCGACTGTATCGATTGTATCTTCCTCCTCGAGAATACTTTGAAAACAAAAACCCGAGGTCCCCGACCTGTGCCCCAGGGTGATCGATTAGCCAAAGCCACGATGTTAAAATACAAGAGAGAGGAAATCCGGTCTCTGATTTTTGTCCCCGGCTTATTTTTATATCGTTATTTTGTTCAATTGTCATCGGCTCTCGATTAATTTACGAAACGTTTCCAGATTTTTATTTCGAATATTTTATTCCATAAAAAATTCTTCCATTGCTTCTTTTTTCTTTTCTTGATCGTATTATTTAATTCTCGCTAGAAAATTTACATCAAGTTAATTAATTACATTTTTACAACGAGAGAAATAATCGAAATATTGTTGTTATTACAAATTGGCAATAAACCATTCTGCATCGATTTATACGATTAATATACGAAAAAGTATTTTTTACTTTCGACATTTTGTATTTGAAAATCAACAAAAGCAAAGAAAAATGTACGGATACATTTGAAAAAGATACGATCCAGAATTTCTTCTTCACCCTTATTATTCATCATTCACATTCCATCCAAAAATATTCTATTATTATGCGTTGATTAAACAAATAACGATTTAACACCCCCTCCCCCAAAGATCCCTCGTCGGCAAAATCCTTTGAAAACCTCGGCTCACGGACCCACGTTCCACCGTTAATTCAACACCAGGTATCGACGCATCCCCAGAAGCGCCGCCCTTCTCTCAACAACGCCCCCCCTCCTCCTCCTCCTCCCGTGAGGAGGGCAAATTGTCGAAAGCGACAACAACCCCTTCTCGCACAGATTTTAATCTGTTCGATGATCGTTGACAGGTATGCGAGGAGCAGAAGTGCCAGGACGAGGTCTTCCCCCTGTCGATGAACTATGTCGACAGGTTCCTCTCGATCTGCCCGATCAGGAAGTCGCAGCTGCAGCTGCTGGGAACTGCCTGCCTACTTCTCGCCTCGAAATTGCGAGAGCCATCACCGCTCACCGCTGAGGTGCTCGTTTTCTACACAGACAACTCCATCACCATGGATGACTTATGGGTAAGTGAATTTCTCGAATTTTTCGCCCCGTTTATTTATTCTTTCCTCCCGTTTCTGCCTTCACCGTTCGTTCATTCTTTCGATTTTTCAACAATGTCTCGAACTTAAAAAACTTGATCGAAGATTGTCCGGGATATTTAAAGCTCTATCACTTTCCTGGGACGAGATGGGTAGAGTGTAGTGCTAGTAGGATATTCTGGGATAAAAAGTGACGCGTGTTTTCTGCTTAAGGAAGTTTAAATATTGCACGTTATCGTGGTGGAAAAATGGTGGGATAGGATGGTTTAGGAGAAAAATGGTGGTGGGATTGATTGAGTTTTGTATTTGGGCTATGCTATTTTTTTTTTTTATTATTATTATTAAGCTATAATAATTGGATTAAACAAAAGACTCGAGTGGATTGTTATTATTATTAATTTGGTGGACAAAGTAAAGTATTTTAAGGTTATTAAAAGGTGGGAGAAAGAAGAAAAATCCTTGAACACCGAAGAGACATAGTTCGTTAACGAAACCCAATACTTATCGTTAATTGCATCTTTTTCTTTCTTTTTGGCAATAAGTTAAAATACTCAGGTATACTCTGGTATACCTAACTCTACCCAGTAGAGTTTTTTCGGTGCAAAGCCACGCGACCGATATCTTTCTCTCACCTCCTCTGTCCACGAGAGAAAGATCTCTAATAAAGATAAACTCGCCTCGACTTTTTTTGTCGCATTTTCAAACGAACAGTCTTTCCTTCGATATCCTTTATTTCATATCTCCTTCAGGAGAGTTAGAAGAGCGAAACAAAATATTCATATATATATATTCATCGAGGAGAGATAATCAAAAATGGAAAAATAAAATCGCGACTCTTTCGAAATCGAGATGCACTCCTTTCAAACGGTACTTTCAAATTTCCCTTTCTCCCTTAAATATGTATCATAGACCAGTATCGACTCGCGTGGCTAGCGGCTGACATGCTAATCGTCATGAAACTTTCATAGGAGAAATTTTGGTAGAAAAAAAAAAAAAAAAATGGGGCGCGTTGTTATCTTGCTCTATTCCATTGTTGTTCCTCCTCCTCGAGGAAACCGTTAAATCTCTCCTGCTCCCTGATAACCTGTCCCGTCGATACCACCAGGCCTCGCTTGATTATCATTCGATTCTTACGTTTTACGCGTGTTCAGCTTGTTTTTCGCCGTGCAACGTTACGACGTCTTTTAGATCGTTTTTGATATTCGTGGAATGTTAAGGATTACAGCAGACGCAGGGGAATTTTCTTGCTTATTCCGTGCTCTCGGATTTAACGCGTTTACGTCGGTTTAAATCCACCGATGGTGGTGATTTTTTTTCTTCTTTTTCTTTTCTACGCGATTTTCTCCTCGGTTCTCTCGATTTCGTTGCATCGATATAATTTATTTTTATTTTTTTTTTTTAAATATCGTGTAAATTTTTAAAATCTAGAATGAATAATATATTTCGCGGAATTTATTGCTATCGAGTGATACGAATTAAGTGCAATTTTTATTATTTTTTTTATAAAATAATTAAGACCAAAATTAAAAGTTAGAAATGCGCGATTCGTTAATTGAAAGACGGCTCTTTGGAATCTTATTATTCTCCGATTCGTTTAAAAAAAAAAAAAAAGAAACGAAAAGAGGTTAATTAAATGTAACAAATAGAAATTGAGAAAATATGTGGGTCAGGCGATATCGAGAAATACGAAAAGATATCAAAAAAAAAAAAAAAAAATTTGCAACGAGTGCAATGCGAGAAAAAGTTTCGTGAGATAAAAAAAAAAATTTAGCAAACAATCGCCAGACGGTTCTTTAATTTATTATCTAATCTGGTCCCGGGTGGCATCGCTAATTTAATTAAAAAAAAAAAAAAAAGAAAGAAGAAAAACCGAACGTGTCGTATGTTATCTGATAAAAATCGATGCTATCGGAAAGATTTTGGCCTTATAATTGTTTAAGCGATAAAGACGAACTTCTTAAAAAAAATTCTCAATGTCGCGGGACACTTAAATTTTGTAACCACGTTAATAACGTTCGAGAAAGTGGGTGATGAAGAAAATAGGAAGGGGATTAACATACTCGTGCAATTTTTGGATATTTTTGTATCACCGAATATAATTATAATTTTAACGTTTCCCGACAAATTCCTAGCTAACTAACTATGATCGAACGTTGACACTTTTGATCGAAACATTTTTTTCCATTTAATTTAACCGGAAATCTGTATTATTAATTAATATTATCGAGAAGATTTCACGATCGATGATAACGTCGTTATGCATATTCGAGAAATAATTAAAATCGAATTCCATAATTGAACACACACACCTTGAATCGAGGAATGAGAGAAGGTATAATTCATCGACGGTATAATTTGATCGATTCGAATGAATCAGAGATCGTGGTGGTGGAGATTCGTGTTCAGATTCGAGGCTGTTCGAAAATAGTCGGCTGGAATCCGCCGTCACCTTCGATTAAAATGTCACAACGTGTCTCTTGCAAATGGCAAATTTTGCGGGGAGAGAGAGAGAGAGAAAAATAAATTCTCGTGGGAGAATCTCGTGATTTACCCGGAGCTTCGCCACAAAATTTATATCGTCGGGAAGAATTTTGGAATTAAGAAGAGAGAGAGAGAGATATATATATATACACGCGCCTACATTTTTCTTTTTGGTCACATTATATCAATACGTTTTATTAGCTTCTATTATTATTCGAAGGTGGTCGATGAGTAACGCTGGAAAATCTATTTTTGCTTTTAACACACGTAAGATTTTTCAATTCTCTCGTCCTTCCTTTGCTCATTGTACTTGTGGACGAGTGGAAAATATGAATATTCGCGTTTAATCGTTAATTTCGATGATTTATCGAAAAATGTTCTATCTGAAGGAGAGAATATACATTGAGGAAATGAAATAGGTTTGCAAGAGAACGGGGAGAATAAAAATTATTTATACGTTTTCTTTGCAAGTTATTGTTGTTGCAAGTTCCAGTATATTATACTTAATATTGAGATATCTTAACGCTCTTCACCACGTCTATTAACGCCGACATTTCATTTTTAGAATGGCAGTATCGTTTATCATTTCGTTTCAGATATTACTCATTGTCAGAAAATAGCCCCGAGTACAATGGCACCAGATAAAGAATATAGAATTAATGTTGCACGTTTTCCCTTTTTTTTTTTACGTTTTCACTTTAAACAAATCGATCCCTCTATCGTGAACTGACACTGTTCAAATTTGCTCGAAACTTGAAAAATGAGCGTTCAACTCGCTGATTTTTGCATATCAACCTTTCCCAAGGACACTTTTTCAACACCCTGTATACGCGAAAGAGAGATTTTTTTTTTTTTAAATCAAAATCAACAGAAGGAAGATAACAATGAGGAGAAAAGCGTGCAAAATAAGATGAAATATTTATTATACAATAATGAAAATTGGCATCTATCAATCGTGACAAAAATCACAGTTAATCGTTAAAAGAACTCGTTTTAACCCTCGTTTTCGACGAAATAATTCTAGTCAAGTGACGAGTGTTGATCAAATCTGATCGTGTTTTCGGTCACTTTTCACCCCACTTTGCAGGTGATACACAGGAGAATAGGGAAACGGTGGTCGACGAGAATCCCTTCTTTTTTTCGAGAAGAGTCACGAAAGCGTAACTGCGGGCAAACAAGCGATAGGCCTAAATAGATAACGACTGATACCGGGGAGTCTTATTTAATTTTCAACCACGATCGACCTACTCGAGTGTTGCTGGAAATGATGTTTTCGGATGTTGATTCGATTTTATCGTTCCCGAGAGAGGATGGTGATTGTGAAAACGTAGAATTCGAGGAAGAGGACAATTTTTTACAATCTTAATGATTTAACATTCGTTTGGAAAATTTATGGAATAATTTATGGAACATTTTAGTAAGAAAAGTAGTGTAGGATGATTTATTTCGTTGTATTTTATTTGACAACACAAAGTTTCATTTGATTTTTATGAGCTAGTATTTATAGCTGCACAAATATAGTTTATAGTTGGAAGAAGTATTGGTTCAATCAACGTATTCTCAATTCTCGGTTGATATTTCATCGTGGAAACGTAAATCGTATGTTCAAATCGAACGGCGAATGTTGGACGAGAGCTGCGTTCCCTAATAAAGCCTAGAAATGAGTCAGGATCGTTATAAGATTAGCAATCTAGATCCAACTAATAAATTGGTACGCCATATCTCATTATCAAATTGTACACAATAAATATCTGTCGTGGCGTGGAACAATTCATACGAATATTTAATTCGTCCGACGATCAATAGCAGAGGCGTAGACGAAACTCTCGCATTTTCGTATATGAAAGTATCTATTCAAGTTGGTGCGTCGATGAAATATAATAAACACAAATACACGCAAACGGTATAAATCAAATTTTTCCTTCGAACAAATCCAAGTTTTTAAAAAGCCACCCCTCGAAATCAAAACAACAATTAACTCGTGACAACTGGCACGAGGAAACAAAAGAACCACCCTTTATTTCCACACCTGGTTTCACGCCCGAGCGGCAAACCTGACCGAAAAACAAACAGCATAACGAAAAAAGTCGAAGACCGGATAACAATCGCCGCGCGAAACATTCGTTTTCGAAAGGGTAATTGCTGTGTTTCGATCTCTCCACCCTGTTGCCGATAAACCGTGCGCAACAACCCCCTCGGGGAAGGGGAAGTTGCTGGAGGAAACACAAAACGAAACGAGAAGAGAGAGGAGCGAGGGACGAGGGTTGGTGGAGGGTTGGTGGACGGACTAATCATCGGAAAATAAACAGAAGAAAGGTGTTGGTGGGGGCGTGGTGGTGCACCTGCAGCAGCAGCACCACGCTGGAATGCACCGGCGGCACGCGTGCAACAGGCACGAAAAAGTTTATCGATCGAGCAACGCGAAATTACTAGGGATTCGGTGGTGGGCCGGAAACGGAGGGGGAGGGAGAAGGAAAGGGGTCGTGCGTGGAAATCGGCCC